AAAAAAAAAAAAAACTCAATGAAAAAAAAAAGAAAAGGCTCATCAGCTCCTAATATATATCCAAACTTGAGACCAGTGCTTTATATACCATAAGAACTTAACACATACTTGGTAAATTGAATTCAGTTTTGAAGTTGATCCTATGAGGTCTGGAAACATCTTATTTGTGTCTGACATTTTATAGAAGCTGTGGCTAGTCTAATGCCAACTAATAAATAATATGAAGCAGTTAAGCCTAAATATATTGCCTGGAATTCCAGCCTGGGAATTCCTCTATTCTGATTAAGATCCAAGTATGTGAATCAGTAACTCTAGCATTGCTGGAGTTGACCTTAATCTACTACTAGGTCTTCAAAATGACTGACTGAAAGCCCTCAAAATCTTGAAATAAACTGGCCTCCTGAGTGTTAGTCTGAGCCCTTCCAAAAGTTTTAAAATCTCTTTAGCCTTTGTGTAACTGATAGCACTAAGACAAATTAGCCACTTTGAACTTCTGTCAGCCAAGATCCTGATCCTGAGGCTGGGTGAAAGGTAGAATGGGTATGAAAAGATGATGGGCAAGATGCAGCCATAGGTACAGTTGTTCCTCAGCTGTCACTTTGCTGTATAGTTCCTCATTGTTGAATGTGTTCTGTCCTAGAAATCAGAGCTCTGTGGAGGACAGAGCAGTGACTATCTCATGGAGGAGAGGGCTCAGTCTTGACTAAAAATACCAAGAACTCACTGCTATCAAGTCAATTCCAACGCATAGTGACCCTATAGGACAGAATAAAACTGCCCCATAGACTACCTCATTTTTTTCCTACGGAGGGGCTGGTTGGTTTGAATCACCAACCTTTTGGTTATTATCTGAATGCTTTCAACCATGACACCAGTAGAGTTTCTAACAATCTTGACTAAGCATAGTGTTAGTAATAGTTAGGGGTTTCCACTTGGCAAGTATATTCCTCTACATAAATAAAGCACTGATTTCCCTCTTTAAACATGATTTTCAAATGTAAGAGTTTGAAGGGAAGAGTGGTGGTTAACTAGTGAGAATGAATTGGCAACTGATTATGTTGTTAATGAAAAAATGCTATTGAAAATCTATATTAAGACATCATTAGCAGTTGAGTTTATCTAACTATTACAGACATCTCTGGGATTTCCTTGGGTATTTTTGGTATAATGTAAGTCAAAGAACTATTTAAAATTTCATATCAATAATAATGTTATAATTATACAGTTCCTTTTCTCTGTGGGTTCCTGTCTATTATTCTAACAGCTAGAACACACTTCCCAAGAGACTCTTTACTGTTAAAGAGAGAACATGTGTCTTTGAACCCAGGAGTTAAATATCGTACTTTAACATTTTAAAAGTTAATTTCTCACAGAAATGTGAAATTATAGCCCTCTGTATAATAGAATCATTTGCCAAAATCTTACCAAAACTCTTTCTACCATATTTTCTCCAAAAACAAAATCAGAACTGCAGCTTTTCAAAGAGCACTTATCTTCATTTAGTTGACATCTGAGGAAAAGAAAAAAGCATTTCCTATTTTAATAATATGGATAAAGCCATTTTAAATCATGGTAAAATAATCATGTGAATTCATAGATTTATGTAAAGTATGAAAAACACAGCTAACTTTTGTTTATTTGAAGTTCATGATATATGGAGGAAAAATTAAGATTGGTACTACCAGGGGTGGTATTCCAAATATTTCACAACTGTGACAGCACTAATAGAGACCAGTCCAAACAGGTTTTGTGCCTGGAACTGTACTCTTTGTGTGATCACCAGATGTGCTGCCCAGCCCTTACCTTCTTGTTTTTCCAATATGTTGTTGTTGTTAGGTCCCATTTAGTTGGTTCCAGCTTACAGTGACCCCATTTACAATAGAACAAAACATTACCTGCTCCTGTGCCATCCTCACTATGTTTGAGCCCACTGTTGCATCCACCCTGTAGATCCATCTCGTTGAGGGTCTTCCTATTTTTCACTGACCTTCTACTTTAACAAGCATGATGTCCTTCTGGAGAGACTGGTCCCTCCTGATAACCTGTCCAAGGTACGTGAGACAAAGTCTCCCCTACTCACTTCTAAGAAGCATTCTACCTGCACTTTTTCCAAGACAGATTTGTTTGTTCTTCTAACACTTCATGATATATTCAGTATTCTTTGTCACCATCATAATTCAAATGTGTCAAATTTTCGATCTTCCTTATTCATTGTCCAGCTTTTGATTGCATATGAAGTGATTGAAGATACCATGGTTTGAGTCAGGTGCACCTTAGTCTTCAAAACTACATCTTAGATTTTTAACACTTTAAAGAGGTCTTTTGCAGTGAATTTGCACAAGGCAATACATTGTTTTCTAGACTGGTGTTTCCATGGACGTTGATGGAAGATGCAAGTAAAATGAAATACTTGACGACTACAATATTTTCTCCACTTACTGTCTTGCTTATCAGTCCAGTTGAAAGGATCTTTGTTTTCTTTATGTTGAGGTGTAATCAGTTCTGAAGACTACCTTCAATTGCTTCAACCCTCTTTGCTTTCAGCAAGTAAGGTTGTCTTCCAAATTCCTTGCCATAGACAGGTGAGCACTTCCAGCATTACATCCCTTTGTTAAAACATCTCACTTGGTATTGTCAATTCCTGAAGCCTTATTTTCACTCTCTCTTGATGCTTCTTGTGTTGTTCTATATCTCACACATAGAATCCTTCAGTATTGCAACTCAAGGTTTGAATTTTTTATTCATTTCTTTCAGCTTGAGAAATGCCAAGCATGTTCTTCCCTCTGGTTACCTTTGCACATTTCATTATAATATTTTACTTTGTCTTCTCAAGCAGCCCTTTGAAATCTTCTGTTCAGCTCTTCTGTTTCATCATTTCTTCCATTTGCTTTAGCTACTCTTTGTTCAGAGCAAGTTTCAGAGTCTCTTCTGTCATCCATTTTGGTCATTTCTTTATTTATTTTTAATGACCTTTTGCTTTCTCCATGTATTATGTCCTTGACACCATCCTATAAATCATTTGGTCTTTGCTTAGTAGTGTTCAATGCTTCAAATGTATTCTCTAAATTCAGGTAGAATATATTCAAGGTCATACTTTGACTCCCATGGATTTGTTTTAATTTACTGCAGCTTCAATATGAACTTGCATATAAGCAATTTATGGTCTGTTCTGCAGTGGGCCCTTCATCTTGTTCTGATTGATGATATTGAGCTTCTCTATGGTTTGTTTCCAGAGATGTAGTTAATTCTGTGTATTCCATCCTGTGCAGTCTGTGTGTATAGTTGCCATTTATATTGAAATAATGGTATTTCTGGTGAATAGGTCATTGGTCTTGCAAAATTCTATCATGTAATCTCCAGCATTGTTTCCACCACCATGGCCATATTTTCCAACTACTGATACTTCTTTTTTGTTTCTAATTTTTGCTTTATAATCACCAATAATTATGAATGCATCTTGACTGCATATTTGATAAATTTTAGACTGCAGAAGTTGGTAAATATCTTCTGTTTCTTAATCTTTGGCATTAGTTTTCAGTGTATAAATTTAAATAACAGTTTTATTAATTACTCTTCTTTGTAGGCATATGGATATTATCCTATCACTGACAACATTGTACTTCAAGCTAGATCTTGAAATGTTCTTTTTAATGCTGAATATGATGCCATTCCTCTTCAATTTTTCATTTCCAGCATAGTAGACCATATGATTTTCCAGTTCAAAAGGGCAACACCAGTGCATTTCAGCTCACTAATTCCTAGGATATTGATCTTTATGCATTGCATTTCATTTTTCATGACTTCTAATTTTCCAAGATTCGTACATCATATATTCCATGTACTGATTATTAATGGATATTTGTAGCTGTTTCTTCTAATTTTCAGTCATGCCATATCAGCAAATGATGGCTTTACTACTTCCTTATCATGAAGGTTGACTCTATGTTGAGGAGGCAGCTCTTCCCCATTTGTATTCTGAGTTTTTTCCAACCTGAGGGGCTCATCTTCTGGCACTACATCAATGCTCTGCTGCTGTCCATAAGGTTTTTAGTGCGCAGTTTTTTTTAGAAGGAGATTGTGAGGTCCTTATTGCTAGTCTGTCTTAGTCTGGAAGCTCCACTGAAATCTGTCTATCATGGATGACCTTGCTGGTATTTGAAATATTAGAGGCATAGCTTCCAAAATCACAGCAACATACAAGCCACCACAGTACAACAAGCTGACAGACAAGTGGTGTCTACTGGCAAAAATTATTTTCGCTGCATGTTTTAATAATGAAAGAAAGCAAGAATGAAAAGACAACACTTCCATTTCCTCATTATTAACGTACCCTACTGATGTAATACATAAAGAATGCTGGTTAGTAGACAGCTGAACTGAGATTCTGGCACTTGGTAAATTTTCAGATGGCAAATAGGAGTTCTCAGAAATCTGAAAGAAAAAAAATCCATCAGAAAGTTGAATTAAATTGCCATGGGAACATCAGAGTAAGAAATGATAGTTACAGTTGCTCCTCATTATTTGAAGATTCAGTGTATGTAATTTGTGTACTAGCTAAAATTTATTTTTAACCTCAATTAACACTCACAGCACTTTATGGTCATTTGTGGACATGGGCAGAGCAGCAAAATAATTTGAATCAAATACATTCCCATCTGGGGTCAAAAAAGGTGACACTCTGCCTTCTTGTTTTAGCTCTCATGTTGTAAACAAGTGTCTTTTTAATGGTCTGCTTAGTGTCTTTTCTTTCACATTTTTATGATCAAAGTGGCCTCCAAGTATCGTGCTGAAGAGGTGTCTAATCTTCCAAAGCTCAAGAAGGCTGTGTGATGTGCCTTATAGAGAAAATATGTATATTAGATTAACTTCCTTTAGCCATGAGTTATAGTGCTATTGGCTATCAATTCAATGCTAATCAATCAATGTTATATATCAAGTAAAGTGTCATTAAGCACAAAAGATACAGAAAATGAGGTTATGGTTGGTTGACAAAAAATTTGTGACCAGAGACAAGGGCCCTAACTCTGTATTTCTTTTGGGAGCAATGGTTCAGTGTTTGCTGCTTCATCATTGAAATAGAATGTAATTATTCATCTCAGTTGTATTCTAGGAGAATTGACTGTGAATGACTGGAAACTTACTCTGCTCAAGTACATCCATATGTACTTTATGTACATTAGCTCATCTATTCCTCACAACTTCATAGATTTTGTACTTCTTCTACCCACATTTCACAGATGAGGAAACTGATTCAAAGTACTTAAATAACATGCCCAGTTCACATATAATCAGGAATGGAGCTGACATTTGAGCCCATGTCTGTCTGACATGGGACTGTATACTTACTCACAGTGACTCCTCCTTGGGTTTCCAAGGTGGTATCACTATGGAAGTAGATTGCCCAATCTTCCTTCCAAGGGGTGGCTTGTGGATTTGAACTGCCAGCCTTCTGCTTAGCAATCAAATGCCTTAGGCACTAGTTCACCAGAGCTCTCTAGATACTTTGTTGTTTGTTGTTGTTGTTATGTGCCGTTGAGTTGGACCCAACTCATAGTGACCCCTCCTTGGGTTTCCAAGGCAGTATCACCACAGAAGTAGATTGCCCCATCTTCCTTCCAAGGAGTGGATGGTGGGTTTGAACCACCAGCCTTCTGGTTAGCAGTCAAGTGCCTTAGCCACTATGCTACCAGAGCTCCCTTAGTAAAACAATATTAAGAAATCTTGTTATTTTTTATTACTTTTAACTTTTTAGCCAAATGGAATTAACTCTCATTTCTGGTTTAATAATGCTAACTTTCACAATAATGACATCCCTGAACTATTCACCATCACAGCCACTCACTATGAGAGGAGACTCTATTCAGCTTTTCATCTTGAAACTTCTGACTAGAAACTTAACTGCTTCCTTAGTCACTCTGGTGTGCATATTATCTGCATTAATACATAAATGTAGGAGTGAGGAATTTTAGAACTGGAATGGACTCTATAAATGATGGTTTCATGTTTCCAGTGTTTTGTGAACACCTCATTTCCCCTACCAGGGATTGGCAAAGGAGTTTATGTCTTTAAAGGCAGATGGGGTCAGTTTCCACTTCTTATTTAGTGTAAATAATCTTGAACATTTAACCCTTTATAACAGTAGTTTGAGAGCTGACAAATATATACAAAGAGATTTTATGTTAATGCTCACTGCAGAATTATTCACAATAGCCAAAAGGTCCATCAATAGAAGAATGGATAAACATGATGTAGTACATACATGCAATGGAATATCATTCAGGCATAAAGAGAAATGGAGTTCTGATACATGCAACCACATGTATGAACCTTGAAAACATTACATTAAGTACAATAAGCCAGGCACAAAAAGACAAATATTGTATGATACCACTTATATAAAATATCTAAAATAGGTAAACCCATTCAGACAAAACATCAGTGGATACCAAGAGATGGGTGAGGGGCAATGAAAATTATTGCTGAAGGGAGATACTGCATTTCTGTTTGGAGTGATGTAAGACTTCTGGAATGGATAGCAGTAATGGTAGCACAACATGGTGGATGCGATTAACTGAATTGCACACTTCAAAAACATATATATTAGGATAATATGTGCCATAGTTAGCAAAGATCCAAGTACATGCTTACAGCTCAGTCCTCAGATATTTGTCTTGCAGCCAGGATGGTAGTTCTTACTCTTACATGGCTCAAACTAGTTTTCATTAGGCATCTATTGTTCGAGTCATAAAAAACAACTTGCTGTGTAGTAGATTACCTGGTATAGCTTTTCTAGCCATAAGTCTTTGTAAACTCCATGGTAGAATTTGCTGTGAGCAACTGAGGAGCTCCTTATTGTTAAAGTTATCAACCTGGGGTATTTCTGTTGAGAGTGGCACAAAGCAATGTTCTGGGAAGTTCACTGTCTCTCAGATGCTTAGAATTCTGATGTTATGATTGGTTAGTTTGGCCACTCTGCCAGGCTCAAAAGGAGGCCTCCTGAAGGCAGAAGTCTCTCTGACTGCTGGCTGAGAAAGACATGCTGCTGAAAGAAATGCACTCCTGAGAGACATGTGCTGCTGAGAAAGAGACGCTGAGAGGCATGCATTGCTGAGAGAGACACCAAGAGACACGCATTGCTGGGAAAGTGGCTGAGAGAGACAGCGGGCTGAGAGAGACTGAGTGTTTTTCCTGAATTTGAATTGTAGCCTGGTGCTTTCCTAATAAACCCCATAATCTGCGAGTTCTGTGTGGCCACTGCAGTGAATTATTGAACCCAGCAGAAAGGTGGTGAGTACTGAGGAAGGAACAGTTGGTGTCAGGGTTGGTGAAAGGGCTGGAGGGAGGCACATGGTGATTCTGTCTTCCTCTTATGGGGTTAAAGGAGGTCAGAAGATGTGGCCTCCCTGCCCCTTTGGCACAACTCAAAGTTGTACAAAACAACTGATGGTTGATTAATGACAGGATGAATAAAAATTTACTGAATTTAGATAATGAATTATTTGTTGTTGTTGTTATGTGCCATCGAGTCAGACCCGACTCACAGTGACTCCTTGGGTTTCTGAGGTGGTATCACTATGGAAGTAGATTGGCCAACCTTCCTTCCAAGGAGTGGCTGGTGGGTTGGAACCACCAGCCTTTTGGTTAGCAGTCAAATGCCTTAGGCCCTACCCTACCAGAGTTATTAGGGAATATTAAAAAAAAAAACGGTTCTACAAAATTTGCATAGAAACAACTTTCACTAGATCTGTAAATTGTATTCTTTTGGTCAGAATTCTGGCATAGCATTTTATATATAGTATGTTCCTGGATCTTCAAAGATCATCATTAAACAGAAAATCCAATGCTGGGCATCTCACTAATTGAGAATAAGGACTACTCATACCCTCAGTAAGTCATTCAAGATGAAATGCTGGCAGACAATAGCCTGAAATTTTCTCTCTTACATTATCATTTAGGAATAAAACATAAATATTTAATAAATTTGATTTTGAAAATATGCAATGCAAGATTGCCAAATATAAGGCCAAGAAAGAAATAATTACTCTTTCAATTGGATGGCATAGCATGTAATCAGAATTTTAATCTACATTTTATAGTACATGCTGTTACAAAATCAAGTGCAATATAATAAATAGCATTTTAGAAATTTGCCGACACATCATACTTACCTTACATAATTTAAAACAAATTAAACAATAAATTTTAAATTTCCTTAAATGAATAAATGTAAAAATGTATCTTTCAGTAATATGTGATGATTAGTAGATTATACCAAAAACCAAAACCAAACACACTGCCATTGAGTTGGACCCAACTCATAGCGACCCCTCCTTGGGTTTCCAAGGCAGTATCACTGCGGAAGTAGATTGCTCAGTCTTCCTTCTGAGGAGTGACTAGTGGGTTTGAACCACCAGCCTCTGGTTAGCAGTCAAATGCCTTAGGCACTACACTACCAGAGCTCCCTAGTAGATTATACTTAAATAAAAACACCTTTAATAATATACTTATCTGAAATTAAATCATGTTTTACTTAAAATCACTTATCGCATATCATGCAGCAATGATGAAATGATTTTTAAAATTCACAATGGGTTTCATGAGATCTTATCTTGCAAAGGTTAGGAATTACAAAAATGTTGGCAAATGCTGCCAGAGTTAATTTTTATCACAGATAAAAAGAGAAAATTGAGTGTCTTGTCCAAAGAACCAATAACATACAAGTGTTAAAGGTAGGATTGATACCAATCTGATTTATTTTCATTGAATTGAATTTTTTTATACTTCTGTGTGTTACTGTCCTTATATTCAATATGAGAAAACCAAACAAAACTATGTGACCAGCCCTCAGTAGTTACACTGGAAACAAATGACTGTTGGAGTACTTACTTTCAAATTCAAACCTACCCATTCTGGCTTCCATTCCTCCAAAATGCCTGTGCCACAGCTAAAACCATACCACATCCCTAAACGCATAACTAGATGGTTTGGGTAAAGTGAATGTCTCCTTAGAAAGACCCACAATAAGTGATTTAGCCACTACCATGGTTCTTTTAGGTCTCCAGAGGCTTCTCAAGCCCTTCCAATTACACTGTTTAGGAAGTGCCCTGCTCTTGTTATCCATGAAGATGAGCATAGAATGAATTCCTGGTGTGACTTAAACTGCCAAAGCCAAACTATGAAGTTGACCAGTTGGGGATTTAGAAAATCACTATTCCAATTTTGGCTATTGACTGTGAGCCCCTGCCCACTCCATTGCTCCTATTCTCCCATAAGATAATTCTGGGATGTGGGCCTTACATCTAGGAAAGGGAGGATGGGAGATTAAGGTCAATCCTACCACAGGGAGTTTTCTTCCCTTATCGTTTGCTTTTTCTTTAGTCTTTCAGGATTCCAGTGCATTGTGCCCAAACGTTTTTCTTACTTTTTCACACCTTTGAACTTGAGGTGGCTGCAAAATAGCAGGTCTTAGAACATGTTCAGAATGTTTCACAGGACCTGAAAAGAACAGTATAAACAGGTCAGTATATTTTCATTGAAATACTTCTTCCTCCCTACTTTTATCTTCCATGTTGTTGTTGTTTGTATGTGCCATCAAGTTCGACCCCACTCATAGCTACCCCTCCTTGGGTTTCCAAGGCAGTGCAGTATCACTATGGAAGTAGATTGCCCCACCTTCCTTCCGAAGAGTGGCTGGTGGGTTTGAACCACAAGCCTTCTGGTTAGCAGTCAAGTGCCTTAGGCACTACACTACCAGAGCTCCCTTTATCTTCCATAATGCTTGTTTCTAAAATCATGATTAAATGAGGGGCTGATATAACTAATCAAAATTCAAAATATCCAGTGAATTGCCTATTCCTCAATCCCCACATAGCTTTTACCCAAGAACTATTCATTTTGACCATGGGACCAGGATTACCAAGTATATTCCTTCATGATTTGTCTGCCTACTCCCACACCCTCAACACTCATATTCACTCACATTACACACAGATTAAAATATAGATAGTAAAATAGAAAATTTTTGAGATTTTATAATAGAAAGAAGCTATGTACCTTGTTCTGTATTGTTTATATCAACATTCCTTTGTACAAGAGTTGATGACATAAAAACACTGTTTTTCTTCACTGCAAGAAAAAAAATGTTTAAACAATTTAAACGCATGAATGCCAATTTCTGTATTATATGGGATTTAACGTAGTGCCTAAGGCATTTGCTAACTAGAAGGCTGGCAGTTCAAATCCATCAGCCACTCGTCAAAAGGAAGAATTGGCCAATCTACTTCCGTAGAGATACTGTCTGGGAAACCCAAGGAGGGGTGGCTATGAATCAGAACCAATTCAGAGGCAGTTAGTTTTTTTTTTTTTTGGTATGGGATTTAACAGTTTGGTTCCGAGATTACCAGTAGGCGTCGCTGTTGGAATTAACAGAGAGTGCATTAAAACTGAGGCTCTGCTAAAAGTGTGTGATTACCAGATAAGTTTTGCTACATAGTTCTGTTTACTCTCAGAAATAGAAGTGAAAATTAGGTCATTAACAGAAAAGTCTGTTTAGAATCATGAAATAATGTGCTGAAAGAAATTCTACAGATTACAATTCTGAATTGGTAATGAACCCTCTGTGTGGATTCATAAAGAATGCTATAAAACTAGTAACAAATTCTCCATCCCTCCTTAACATGTGTATTTGAAGACAAGTATTCAAAACAAACAACACACAGCCATCGAGTCAGATCTGAGTCATAGCGACCCCTCCTTGGGTTTCCGAGGCGATATTACTACGGAAGTAGATTGCCCAGCCTTCCTTCTGAGGAGTGGCTGGTGAGTTTGAACTGCCAGCCTTCTGGTTAGCAGTCAAATAAATGGCTTAGGCACTAGGCCACCAGAGCTCCCAAAGACAAGTGTTATGAGAAGTTATCTTTCTATGACTTATGTGGGTGGAATGTAACAGTGAGCTTGGTTTTTTGGTTTTATACATTTCAAAGGGATTGCCTCTTAATTGCAAATTATTGAAATAGCTACCTTTGGGCAGTTGGTTAATAGAAATGAGACAAGAATAAGAATTGCTTTTTCAAAGTAATATATTTATAAATGTATAATTTGTAAATAGGAGCTCTGGTAGTGTAGGGCCTAAGGCACTTGACTACTAATCAGAAGGCTGGTGGTTGAAACCCACCAGCCACTCCTCAGAAGGAAGGTTGGGCAATCTACTTCTATAGTGATACTGCTTCGGAAACCCAAGGAGGGGTTGCTATGAGTCAGGTCTAGCTCAACAGCACATAACAACAACAATAACAATTTATAAATATATTTATGAATGTATCATTATTTCTCTAGTAAATGGTTTTTATCTTTATTATCAAAAGTCAGCAGTGAATGGTGCATACCCAGTTATACTATTTTTTTCCTTTCCAGCACCCTAATATTTTGCATAATGTAAATTGGAATAGTGCTTACTTCTATCAATGATCCCTTATTTCTTATTTCCTTTTTTTCCTTTTTTGGTCTGATTCTTTAAATTAAAATGAAGCACTTATCCAGTTACCTTGAAATTATCCCCATGCTTTGTGCACAATACAAGACAGTATGCCTTTGCCTCTGAGTTAGGGCCCCTATTCCTCTTAATGTCTGTAACTTGTGTTGAGCTAAGAAGTGGCTGCTCTGTGTCTAAAAGAAGCTTAGCATACTGTCACTCAATCATGATTGGAATTTTTAGTAAGAATATGAATTTATTAGTGTGGAAACAATATAGTTTCTGGGTAGAAGGGGGTCAGATAAAAGGAAGTGAATAGTTCGTGCTATGTCTATTATTATGGAAAAAGTTCTTCAGTGGAAAGAAAAACACAAGAATACGTATCATAATTTAAATATGGAGAAAGTTCCAACCATTTCAAATATTTCATTATGATAAAAATAGTTTTACTTATGAAAGTATTACAAATTTCAAATAAAAAGGAAGTAATGCTTTAATTAGTGAAAAGTTCAAATTGAACCATATTCTGAACTTCAGAACAATGATTTAAACAATAGTTACTTCTTTTCTAGGCCTATCTTATATAAAGCAATGCTATCATAAATATGAAATCCTAGGAAACATCACCACATTCAAACTTTCTACCAAAAATAAACACATACACTATCTGGATTTGTGGGGTGAGAATTCATAAGGTATTATTCCATGCAAATTTTGTTGTAGCCTCTATTTGATTTGTCACTAAAATGTCAGTATTTTCTAATAGCTGAGAAAGAGAACTCATAAATGAGAATGGATTTTTGAAAAGTCGGAGCATAGGGCCTGGGGCTCTGGAAGTTCTTTGTTACCTGCCCCAGACTGGGGGAAGGTAGGTGTTAGTGAAGGATTTCATTGCTTCTGGGACAAGGTCGATGCTTAAAGGAGATTGCAAACTGAACTCAACAAGGAGGTGAGGGTTTTTACTGTTCTATGTCACTAAGTTGGAAAAATTTCTGGTTAATTTTTATCAGGGGAAAATATACTATGCCTCTAATTAGGATTATGAATTCAACTTCAATTGAATTCAATAAGTATTTAATGAGTGTTCACATGTGTATTAAGCATGAAGATGACCCCAAGAAATTTACAGTGGAGGAGACAGACATGTATGAATAGCTAGACCAGAAGGCAAAGCACAATGCGAACCATTGTAAAAGGAATCACCGGAACATGGTGTATGATGAAGTTCTCAGAATACATTGTCTTAGTTATCTAGTGTTGCTGTAACAGAAATAGCACAAGTGGATGACTTTAACAAACAAATTGACTTTCTCACAGTTCAGGAGGCTACAAGTCTGGATTCAGAGTGCCAGCTGTGGGAGAACACTTTCTCTGTGGACTCTGAGGGAAGGTCCTTGTCTCTTCAATTTCTGCTTCCTGGTTTCTTAGAGATCTCTATGTGGCTTGGCATCTATTTTACCCCATCTCTGCTTCTCTCTCTAGGTTGTTTAATCTCTTTTATATCTCAAAAGAGACTGATTTAAGACACATCCTAAACTAATGCTGTCTCATTAACATAAGAAAGACAACACATTCCCAATGGGATAATAACCACAGGCACAGAAGTAAGGATTTACAACTTACCTTGGAGAGACACAATGCAATTCCTAACAGCAGAGATCCATTTGCTTAAGTTAATGTTTACTTTAAAAATATCATTTCCCCCTAATTACAAAGCTAATACATGCTCAATGCAGAAATTTTGGAAAAAAACAAAATACAAGAGAGGAGATCCCAGGGCACTTGTAATCTCATTACTCAAGATAATCATTATTAACATTTTGGTATATGTCTTTCTAGTCTTTTTTGCATAGTGGCTAAGACACTTGCCTGCTAACCAGACGGCTGGCAGTTCAAACCCACCAGCCACTCCTCGGAAGGAAGGTTGGGCAATCCTACTTCCGTAGTGCTACTGCCTCGGAAACCCAAGGAGGGGTCGCTATGAGTCGGGTATGACTCGACGGCACATAACATAACAACAGTGCCACAGTGCCTAAGACACTTGCCTGCTAACCAGACGACTGGCGGTTCAAACCCACCAGCCACTCCTCGGAAGGAAGGTTGGGCAATCCTACTTCCGTAGTGATACTGCCTCGGAAACCCAAGGAGGGGTCGCTATAAGTCAGGTATGACTCGACGGCACATAACAACAACAACAATAACAAGTTTCACAGTCACAGTAATCATTAGCAGTGAACAGTCAACAGTTAAGGCTAGACCTACCTCCTTGGGACTGAGAATCTGTTGTAGGGATAGTAAAAGATGAAGTCCGTACACGCTTTCTTGAAAAACCATTACATTCTGTAAGAAATTCAATATGAAGGGTAAAGTTGCTTGTAATAACACATTATCCTACCCCCATGATATATGTTGTTATGTGCCGTCAAGTCAGACCCGACTCATAGTGATCCCTCCTTGGGTTTCCAAAGCAGTATCACTACGGTAGTAGATTGCTCAACCTTCCTTCCGAAGAGTGGCTGGTGGGTTTGAACCGCCAGCCCTTTGGTTAGCAGTCAAGTGTCTTAGGCACTATGCTACCAGAGCTTCCCCCCCCCCATGATATAGGAGGATATAGAAACTAAAAAATCCACTACCATTGAGTCAAATCTGACACAAAGTGACCCTACAGGATAGATTAGAACTGCCTCATAGGATTTCCAAGGCTGTAAATCTTTACAGAAGCAGACAGCCTCATCTTTCTCCTGTGGAGCAGCTGGGGGGTTCAAACAGCCAACCTTTTTTGGTTAAGAGCCAAATACTATAACCACTGCACCAGCAGAGCTCCTTGGGGGAGATATAGCTTCCTTTGTCTACAGAGATCGTCATTTGATAATATATTAACTGTTGAGACATAATTTCAAGTATTGTGATTAATAACTTGGTGATTATAAATCAATAGGCATATCATACTAGTATGAAACAATTAAAAGGGAGGGGCTTCTGCTAAAGTTGCATACTAATTTTGAGGGTCTAAGGAGAAGACTATTGGTGAGCTGTCTGAGGAACAGCCAATGCAAAATCATGGAATTTTAGTCACTAACATACATGTTCTCAGGCATTTCATCTTCCAAAATAAAAGCCAGACTACTTGTGTATTTAAAGACAAGGAAACCCACTAAGTGCTAGTTTTACAGAGTCTGTGAGCACATACCAAAATGCTTCTGCTTGCTTATTTTCTTGGAATAAAGATAGATTTTTAAATACAAGATGTAAATCATTACCATGTTCTGCTTCTTCATACAGGGTGTCTTCTGTAGGTCTCTGAAAGGAAATAAAACTGCCAATGAGAGCTAACTGCTCTTTTCACATCAGATTTCCTTCTGATTTGTAACAATTCCTTTCTGCTTTTCAACAGTTCTCAGGAGCCTGCTCTATTCAGCCCAGCCAGGATGAAGGGGCTCTACCTTTATTCAATTAGGCAGGCGATTCAAGAAAAAGTCATGTGTAGTACCAAAAAACACACAAAAAGAAACCAAACCCATTGCCATCAAGTCAATTCCAACTCATAGTAACCCCTATTGGGTTTCCAAGGTGGTAAATCTTTATGGAAGTACATTGCCCCATCTTCTTTCCAAGGAGCAGCTGGTAGGTTTGAACTGCCAGTCTTCTGGTTAGCAATCAAATGCCTTCGGCACCAGACCACCAGAGCACCTTAAACTATGTTGTTGTTATGTGCTGTGGAGTCGGAACCGACTCACAGCAACCCCTCCTTGGGTTTCCGAGGAGGTATCACTATGGAAGTAGATTGCCCAACCTTCCTTCCGAAGAGTGGCTGGTGGGTTTGAACTACCAGCCTTCTGGTTAGCAGTCAAATGCATTAGGCACTACACTACCAGATATTTCAGTGACCAGAGAGAATCACTTGTGAGAGCCTGTTTGAAAATGCAGATTTTGAGTGAAGGACACTCAGGCTGCTGAAGGTCTGAAAGGTTCAGGAATCTGCTTTTTTTTTTTTTTTAACCTCAGTTGAGAAACCAAGAATTTGCATTTTGAATTTTCCTTTAGTTAGTTAGTGTGTTTTGTGGGCACTGGAGTGAATTACTTGCATAAGTAAGAATGATTAACAAGAAAATCATACTTAAGCTAAAGTGAGAATACTAATCTCATTGTGCGTCTTTCAAAGTAGATGATGTTAGTATGCTGCTGAAAAAGTAGATGGGGTCTTTAAGATCCCTTTTGAATCAAATATCTCAATTGAGAACCTTTACTTTCACCTAGTTTTCTGCTACGTTAGTGGTGGGATCCATGAGAAGCTCCAGCACTCCTAGTCCCTTTCAGTTCCTCCCCTTTCCAAATCACCCCACATAAACATGTAATTTTAGTAAAAACAACGTATTATCCATAGCTTCCAGACAAGGCCTCTGACCTCCTATTTCAGCCATTTTGTGGTCTCTGGATCCCTACTGTATAAATATTCTGGAGGCAGCACTCTGCTAAGTGAAGAACAAGATAAACATCTGGTGTATGTTTAGTATCTTCTAGTACACTGAAGTCTATTTAGTATAGTTAGTTTCTTGTGCAGTATCTTTAAGTATAGTTTGCTTCTTGAAATACAGTTGCCTTTGTTAAAGTAAAAACAAACAAACAAACAAAGGCAGTGCAATCTTACCTTAAAAGCTTGTTCTCTCTTTTCAAAAACAAATATTGGCTGAGCTATGACAGCTTTTTCTGTAAAAGAGAAAGAACAGAAAAGAAATCAAAGTATACTCTGACATTTCTAGCGCCCACTGAAAATTCTTGAATATATCTTTGTTTTGTATTTTTCCCTGCCTTTGTGCACAGTCCAAACTATTTTACATAACTTCAGTGCCATCCAGTGGATTCCAACTCATAGCCACCCTATTGGACTGAGTAGCATTGCCCCATAGGGTTTCCAAGGCTGTAAATCTTTACGAAAGCAGACTGTCACATGTTCAAACTGCTGACCTTGTGGTTAGAGGTCGAGTGCTTTAACCACTGTGCCGCTATTTTACATGGATACTATAAATTACACAATTTTAACAGTTAATTACAGGAATATGTACTTGAGAAGGACCTCTGGTGGCTTAGTGGTTAAAGCATCTGGCTACTAAACAAAAGTTCAGCCGTTTGAACCCACCAGATGATCCACAGGAAAAAGATGAGGCATTCTGCTTCCGTAAAGATTTATAGCCTTGGAAACTCTATGGGGCACTTCTACTCTGTCCTAAAAGGTTACCACTACGAGTTGGAATTGACTTGATGACAGTGGGCTTTTTTTTATACTTGTGGAAAGTGATGATATATAGTTCTTCCAGAATTAGAGAGATTACCTCTTTAAAAAAAGATACTTTATATGTTTAAAGGAAACTAATATCTAACTTTAGAATCTCATGAAATCATAGTAATTAACATCTTTACTTTTAGAATAAAAAGCTTCAAATGGTGAAAAGTCTCACCTGAGAATTTTACTCAGGTTGTATGTCAAGATATAAATGGTATAGATGTATTGCATCTCATCCTTAAAGCACTCCAGAGATAATCCATGTTTCATTGACTACAGTAATAATATACTAAATCATGTTTTTAAAATTTAAATTAAAGATCTGTTTAAATAATGTACTTAAGTAGATAAAGTTTATCTTTAGCCCTGGCAGCCTTCTCAATCTTTATATTTTCTCTCATATTAGGACAGTTCAACCATTTTAGGAGATAGCATATGATCAAGAAACACTGGTATTAAAGGAAGAAGTTCAAGCTTCACCGACCAAAAAAAACCAAACCAAATTCACTGCCATTGAGTCAAATCCGACTCATAGCAACCCCTCCTTTAGTTACTAAGGTGGTATCTCTACGGAAGCAGATTGCCCAGTCTTCCTTCCGAGGAGTGGCTTTTGGGTTTGAACCACCAGCCTTCTGGTTAGCAGTCAAATGCCTTAGGCACTACGCCACCAGAGCTCCTAAACTTCATTGAGGGCATCAACAAAAAACAAGGCTCCAGGAATTGACAAAATACCCATTGAGATGTTTCAACAAACAGATACAGCACTGGAGGTGCTTACTCATTTATGCCAAGAAATTTGGAGCATAGTTACATGGCCAACCCACTGGAAGAGATTGATATATGTCCTTATTCCAAGAAAAATGATCCAACCGAATGTGGAAATTATTGAAAAATATCATAAATATCACATGCAAGTAAAAAATACTACAGAAGAACTAACAAATCTATCTTGGAAGAAGTACATCCACAATGCTCCTTAGAAGCAAGGATGGCAACATGTACTTTGGACTTGTTATCAGGAGGGACCAGTATCTGGAGAAGGATATCATGCTTGGTAAAGTAGAAGGTCAGTCAAAAAGAGGACAACCCCCAACAAGACAAATTGACACTGTGGCTGAAACAATGGGCTCAAACATAGCAACAATTGTGAGGCTGGTGCAGGTCTGGGCAGTGTTTCATTCCATTGTACACAGAGCAGCTATGAGTTGGAACTCTCTCACCAGCATGTAACAACATTGACAACAGGGAAAATGTCATTCACTCTAACATGTAAGTGAATGATAGCAGCTTTAAATATCCATACTCCAGAATTTTTAGGAAATACTATATGGTAGTTAAGAGCTTGGGCTCTGGAGTTAGATAGCCTGTGTTAAAATATTAACAAATATAAATAAATAATATTATTCAATTATTTAAGTCCCACCAATAGTTGGCTATCTATTAAAAAAAAAAAAAAAAACTTTACTAGCTGCCTATAAACCAAAAACCAAAAACCTCTGCTATTGAGTCAATACCAACATATAGTGACCTCCATTGTGCATTGGGTTTTCAAGGCTGTAAATCTTTCATGGAAGCAGACTGCTCCATCTTTCTTCTGTGGAGTGGCTGGTGGGTTTTGAACCAAATGCCTTAACCGCTGTACCACCAGGGCTCTGTCTATGTACTTTGCACAAGTTAATTTGTTTACCTTGGTTTTCTGAACTTTTTTTTAAGAAAAAGATTATAACTGTCCTTATCTCACAGAGTTTGTGTGGATTAAATATGTGCATGCCACAAGTCCTATTCTAAAACTCATAGCTGACATTACTAACTGATTACGATACTTTCTTGAACTCAAATATAACTTCAGAACTTTTATCATTATGGTTTCTAGTAATTACCAATACTTTCCCTGGCATACAATTTGAGAGAATTTGCCATCCTTGTATGAATCAATAAAGCTCTAGTAGAGGAATTTCAAGGAATTTACTAGATAATTACATTTTTTATATGACATAAAGGGGATCCCCAGTCCCCTACAATCTTATCCCATAACCAAATCATAAATGTTCCAGACCAACCCTGCCTTCTTTTTAACTTGGGTACATTCTTCCAGTTCAGTGCAATAAACAAACTTTTTAATGTAAGTGCTTATGGCATTGTTTGGCCCTGGAGCCAAGTGAGCCAAAGTAGAAACAGTTTAATAACATACTGACATTCCCATTCTTGTTAAACTATAGTTCAATTCTTTGTGTGCGTGTGTTTTTCCTGCTCAGAACAGACTCCTTTTCCTGCAATTTAATTCGATTTAAGACGTGAGATCCCTATTGATTTTGAAAGTTAAATAATCTTTGTGAATGTGCAATGGAATACTTAACGAATTAGAATAATGTGTGAGACTCTTCTGAGCTGCACTTGGAACAGGCATCCCTAAAACAGCATGACTTGGCCTAAAGTTAGAGAGATAACATATTGCATTCCCCTCCATCAAAACACACAAGATAAAAATGAGTGAAAGGGATCATCAATGGAAGCATTAAGAAAGAAATCACAAAGTATACTTGTAACTTCGAGGGCATGCGATGAAGTATAGAAAGTCCAGTTTTAGACACTAGTTCAACAACTCTCTTGGTTCCAAAGACAAAGTCAGAAGTAAGCATTGGCCAAACCATTGGGTCATACCAGAATTCTTTCCTGACCAAGTAGCAAAATTTGAAAATAATAAAATCCTTAAAATTATATATTAAAAGTTTATCCTTCTTCTTTCTAATAGATTCAATAATTAATCAATCCATTCAGCAACTCAGTAGGAGTGATTACATACAAGGCGTTTTACAAGTATTATGTAGTAAAGCAGTAAACACAACAGATATGGTCCCTGTCCTCATAGAGCTTACATTGAGGAGGAGAGACAAAACTGAGCAGTTAACCATACAATTATTTAAGTTCAATTGAGATGTTGTTAAATGCTGTTGAGTTGTTTCTGATGCATAGCAACCCTGTGTACAACAAAACGGAACACTGCCTGGTCCTGTACCATCCTCACAATTGTTGCCATGTTTGAGCCTATGTTGCAGCCGTTACATCAATCCATCTCACTGAGAGTCTTCCTCTTTTTGGCTGACCCTCTACTTTAGCAAGCATGATGTCCTCTAGGGACTGGTCCCTCCTCACACCATGTCCAAAGTGTGTAGGATGAGGTATTGCCGTCCTCGTTTCTAAGGAGCAATCTGGCTGTACTTCTTTCAAGGCATTTTTGTTCCTTATTCTGGCAGTCCATCTTATATTCAGTTTTCTTCTTCATCACCATAATTCAAAGGCATTCATTCTTCTTCAGTCTTCCTTATTCATTGTTCAGCTTTTGCATGCTCATGAGACAATTGAAAATACTATGATTTGGGTCAGGCATACCTTAGTCCTCAAAGTGACATCTTTGCTTTTTAACACTTTAAGAGGTCTTTTGTAACAGATTCACCCAATGCAATATGTCATTTGATGCCTTGACTGCTGCTTCCATGGATGTTGATTGTGGATCCAAATAAGATAAAGTCCTTGACAACTTAAATATTCTATTGGGATAATGGTTACAAAAGAGAACTACCAAGTTCTCAGAAGGTGACCAATAGCACAGCCTGGCTTTTTTAGAGGATCATTTTGTGTTCTCAGCAGGAGTGATATTTAGGCAGACTTTTGGATAAGTAGGCATTAGCCAGGAAAATAGGGGAAGGAAGGCATTCTATGGCAGAGGGAAGAGCAAGGGGAAAGTGTCTGAAAAAGGCTGGAGCATGGCAATTCCAACAATAAAAAAGAAAGTGTGGTGCAAGATGAGACTGGAGATAATGCCAAAGCTGTGCAAGGCCCTTTAGGCTGTGTCTTGGAGTTTTGTTTTTATTTCAAGAAAAATGGGAGGGATATTAAGCAGAAGAGTGATTTCCTCAGTCATGCATTTTGTCTTCTAAGAGCTCTGTGCTTGCTGTGTGGAAATGGATTAGAGAAAGAAGGGGCCAAGGGAGATAACAAGGCATCTAACCAAGAAGGTAGTCTAAATTCTACAAGAAAGGTGGCCAGGTTAACTTTTACTCCTTTGTTAAAAAAAAATTTGCACCCATGATTTTTTGAGGGAAATGGAAAAATTAAAACAGTTTAAAATAATCTCCTGTTAAAGGGAATGAAGATTAAGGGATGGAGAAGAAAAATTTTGACAATTATGGGTTGATTTTGATGTTATGGTTGTTTTAAAATTCATTTAACATTTAGTAAATTCCTGTATTCATTATTGTTTCCTGAAATACTTCATTAAGAGAAGACATTCATTGTCCCACTCTTTTTTTAATATGTGAATATATACAAAATATACAGCAATTCATCAATTTCTAGATCCATAATTCAGTGACATTGTTTACATTCTTTGTATTGCGCAGCCATTCTCACTGTCTTTTTCCAAATT